CCCCATTTTAATTATATTATTTAGTGAATAAAATAAAATAAAAATAAACACAGCGGGGTGAGCGGTGGTGGAATCTATCATGGGTGGTTGAACCGGAAGAGTCATCTTTAGTAAAATTCTTCAACACTGTTGATGAATTTCTACCTGTTTGGTAAGCCAGCGGTCCGGCGCCATCACGACTACGACTAGTCAACATGAAATTGTAAAACTTGTGAGATGTCCTAGAATCAACTAGTCGACCAGTACCTGGTGTTGGTTTCCTCACATTAACTGCTGCTTTCGGTCCTTCCACAACATCTGGATCGGCTTAAGGTCAGAACATTGACTTGGCCATTCCCAAACATGAACTTTATTGTTTAAACATTCTTTGGTAGAACCACTTGTGTGTTTAGGGTCATTGTGTTGCTGCACGACCCACCACCTCTTGAGACTGAGCTCATGGACAGATGTCCTGACATTTTCCTTTAGAATTCTGTGATATTCAGAATTCATTGTTCCATCAATGGTAGCAAGCTGGCCTGGTCCAGATGAAGCAAAACAAGCTCAAACCATGATATTACCACCACCGTGTTTCACAGATGGGATGGCAGAGTTTTCCTTTCACCAAACGTAACACTTTTCATTTAAACCAAAAAGTTCTACTTTGGTCTCATCCGTCCACAAATCATTCTTCCAACAGTCTTCTGGCTTGTCCACATGACCTTTATCAAAGTGCAGACGAGCAGCGATGTTCTTTTTGGAGAGCAGTGGCTTCTCCTTCAACCCTGCCCAGTGTTGTTCAGTGTTCTCCTGATGGTGAACTCATGAACATTAACATTAATGTGAGAGAGGCCTTCAGGTGCTTAGAAGTTACCCTGGGGTCCTTTGTGACCTCGCCGACTATTCCATCTCTTGCTCTTGGAGTGATTTTTGTTGGTCCACCACTCCTGGGGAGGGTAATGGTCTTGAATTTCCTCCATTTGTACACAATCTGTCTGACTGTGGATTGGTGGAGTCCAAACTCTTTACAGATGGTTTTATAACCTTTTCCAGCCTGATGAGCTTCGACCACTCTTTTTCGGAGCTCCTCAGAAATCTTCTTTGTTTGTTTCATGATCCACTTCTACAAACATGTTGTGAAGAGAGACTTTGATAGATCCCTGTTCTTTAAATCAAACGGTGCCCACTCACACCTGATCATCATCCCACTGATTGAAAACACCTGACTCTAATTTCACCTTCAAATTAACTGCTAATCCTAGAAGTTCACATGCTTTTGCCACTCACAAATATGTAATATTGGACCATTTTCCTCAATAAATAAATGAGCAAGTATAATATTTTTCTCATTTGTTTAATTGGATTCTCTTCATCTACTTTTAGGACTTGTGTGAAAATCTGATGATATTTTAGCTCATATTAATGCAGAAATATAGAAAATTCTAAAGGCTTCACAAACATTAAAGTACCATTGTAAATATGACAGAACAGTAGCAACAAAAGGTTCTAAAAGGAAATGGATTGGCACTGAGCAAACTGAGGAACCCTTCCATATGGTCTGTAAGCAAT